CTATAAATGTACATTGAAGATCTGAGTCTAAAATAAAACCATTGGTCAAAAAGACACTGTTTGGGGGGAGGAAGAGAGAGGTAATCTGGGAATTCCCATAAGCATCATTTGTACAGGATCCCATTTGCAATTACCATTAATATTGGCCAAGCATCTGCCCTCTCCCATCTTTGGAAGCCTTTTAAGAAACTAAAGGGAAGTTTTATCCTTGCCTTGATGTCTTCAAATTCCCAGAGACTAGCTTACATAGGAGCTCACTTAGAAAGCATATAACTGCTATCACTACTCTCCACGGATCCCACAGTATAGTGTTAGACTCTACGAGAACATAATTTGGGGTTAGCTAAGAACGAAAAAGGGAAGCTGGATGGCATAATGGATAGAGTACTGGGCATAGAGTCAGAAAGACCTGAATTCAAATCCAGCCTCAGACACCTACTGATTGTGTGACCCTAGGCAAGTCACTTAACCCTGTTTGCCTCAGTTTCTTCAAATGAGCTAGAGAAGGAAATGGCAAACTATTCCAATATCTCTGCCAAGAAAACCCCAAATGAGTTCATGAAGAGTTGGACATGACTGAACAACAATAAAAGAACAATAAAAGGACCCCAGATTTAAATCCTCTGATAAAATAGCGAGCAATGTGGCATACTGGACAGAGAGTTGGCCTCAGGGTCAGGAAGACCTGGGTTCAAATCCCACAGTTAAATCTAGTTTAATTTTTAAGGAATTATTTTCCTCAGTGAGTTTTTGGACCTCCTTTTCTTCCTCATTGGTTTTTTGGACTTCTTTTGCCATTTGGTCTAGTCAATTTTTTAAGATGTTATTTTCTTCAGCATTTTTTTGGGTCTCCTTTAGCAAGCTGTTGACTCATTATTCATGATTTTCTTGCATCACTATCATTTCTCTTTCCAATTTTTCCTCTACTTCTCTTACCTGATTTTCAAAATCCTTTTTAAGTTCTTCCATGGCATGAGACCAATTCATATTTTTCTTGGGGGCTTTGGATGTAGGAACTTTGACTTTGTTGTCTTCTTCTGGTTGTATATTTTGATCTTGCTTGTCACCAAAGTAAGATTCTATAGTCTGAGTTTTTCCTCTGTTTGCTCATCTTCCCAGCCAGTTACTTGACTTTTAAACTCTTTGTTAAGGTAGGGGTCTGCTTCCAGTGTGGACAGTGTACTGTCCCAAGCTTCAGGGGTTTTGTGCAGCTGTTTTCAGAGATACTTCCAGGGACCAAGCAGAGGCAAAGCAATCCTGCCTCAGTGCCGGCAAAGAGATCCCTGCAATCCTCCTCTGCTCAGCCGCTCATCCCACCCACCCCCCATCTGTGGGCTGAGAGTTCCAAAAGCAGCTGCTGCCACTGTGCCACAGCCTCAGGGACCAGGGCTGGACCACATTCCTCTCTCACCCAGGTCCCACAGAGCTTTGCCACTGACCTTCTAAGTTGTCTTTGGCATTTATGGGTTGAGAAGTCTGGAAGCTGCCACAGCTCCCCTTGATTCAGTCTCCTGAGGCCTGCTCCAGGTTTGCTGGGCCCCATCTTTGACTGCACGTCCCAAGCTCCTCTCCCAGTCTGGTGGGAAAGGAGACCTTTCCCATCAACCATCCAGGTTGTCTTGGGCTGGAAATTTGTTTCACTCTGTCTTTTTGTGGGTTCTGCTGCTCCAGAATTTGTTTAGTCATTTTTTTACAAGTATTTGTACGGGTTTGGGGGGAGAGTTCAAGTGAGTCCCTGCTTTTACTCTGCCATCTTGGCTCCTCCCCGAGATGTACCTCAAAATCCAGTTTAAAAAATTTAAATTCTCTTTCATTTTATAATTTCCCCCTCTTACTGGTATACCAAACTGCAACTGTATTCCTTTTCACCTATGTAAACTGAGGCAACTCACTTCACCACTCTGGGCCTTCTGTCTCATTTATCAAATGAGAGTGTTAGAACTCTGAGATTCCTTCCAGAGATAAGATCATAATCTCATGATCTGTTTCTTTTTATCTAATCCAATACCTAATGGGCTTAAATTTTTTAAAATTTGAAATGACTGAATCAACTGTTAGTTTTAATTATCATGTAAGAAACAAAGAAAGGTGCTAAAGTAGATATGACTGACAGGAAAAGCATTTTACTTTTTTTTTTTTTAAATCTCTGCTTCTCTATTTCTTTATGCTAAATCATACATTACAACTTATGCCATAATATCCAGGACTGTAGGATTATAGCTGGAAGGGTTAGACAGGTCTTCAAATTGAATCCTTTTACAGATAAGGAAACTGAGGTATAGGTCTTATCCAAGGTCATACAGGGAGTAAGTGGCAGAGCTGGGATTTGAACTCATGTTCTCTAATGCCAAATTCAGGGGCTTGGACACATGTATAGTCCATTTCCTTAACAAGTATTTCATAGGCTTTAGAGTTGAAAGAGACAGACCCTATTGATTATAAGCTCCAACTTCTTCATTTTATAGATGAGGAAACTTAGAAACAGAAAGCAAAAGTTACTTTTCCCAAGGTCACAAAGGTAACAGTCAACAAAATTTGGATTCAAAGCCAGAGCCTCTGACTTCAGCTCCGGGGAGGGATAGGAAAAGGAGAGAGAATAAGTATTTACATAGTACCTACTATGTGCCAGGCACCATGTTAAGCACTTTACAAATATTATCTCATTTGATCCAGGTCAGTGCCTTTTCCTCTAGACCATAGTTCCTAAATAGAATGACTGGCTAACGAAATAATATTCTCCTCTGTGGACCAGAAATGAGCCAGTTATTCACAGATCAAGGAGAGCAGGTAAAGAGGGATCAGACAATTTAATATTCCAAAGAAAAAATAGTGCAATCGTTCTGCTTATTCCCATAGGACACAATATTTTGTCTATTGGATGTAGAGAAAAAAAGTCAACGTATACAGCTCTTTCAGTGGGTAGAGGGGAAAAAAATTCTTCCAATGCCATATAAATATATTTGGCTCAATGCATTTCTGACTGCTTGATTTCCTGCAGATTAAAAAAACTGGGTATGGGGCAGTGGGGGCAGAGATGAGTAGAGAGAGTTAAGAAAACTAAAAACTCATACTTTCCTAACTCAGAAACAAATTAAGGTGCACATACTTAATATGTTTCGCTAAAGGTCCTGAATGAAGATGCCCAAAGTGGCTAACAGTGCTAGAGCCAACAGACTCCATAGGGAAAAGGAATCTCTAAGGTAACCATGTCTGTCCATCACCATACAGGGTTCTGGAGATTAAAATCAACACCCTAAAGTACCCTTAGAAGAAAATAGGCAGTCAGGCATGTAGGAGGGAATTGCTTTGGAGTGTTTGTGAATTGTATCCTTCAGTAGCTCAGTTTCACATTCTCCACCATCTTAAATTACTGGGTGGTCCTTCAGAGTTAGCCTTTTTCCATATTAACTGGAGGTCAGAGTAGAAGTAGATGTTTTTTAAATGGCTCCATAACTCTCTCTGTCCATTAGTAACATTTGTAGCTACACAAAGTAACATAATAAGGGTAATCGAATGTCATGCTTTGGGTAGTAAGCTGATCTAAACTGGGGAACATAAAGGAATGCTATCCCCCTCCTCTCAAAGAACACAATTGAGCAGTTGGCTGGTTCATTATAAAAACAACTGGCTGAAAGAAATGGAGCCGGTGAACTAAAAGTCTAATATGGGAAAGGAAATTCTGCTTTCTAAAAAAGCTACAGTGAAGTGTGTATGTGTGTGTGTGTGTGTGTGTGTGTGTTTAAATGCTGCAAGATAACCTTTTTTTTTTCTTGGCACTCCCAGTCCAGAGGTAATTAGCTCTGAATTGTGCTGTCATTTAAGCACAGTCAAGCTCAGGTTCACTCACAAAATCATTTTCATTTCTCTGATGTTTTAGAAACAAAAAAACTCATACACAAGCAGCTGGACAGTTCTCAAAGTTGAGCAATGTGCTTATGAATGTTGCTGCAAAAAGGAGATATATTTAACTTTGTCAAAGCTACCTCTGCTTTAAGAAAACTCAAGTCAGTTTTTGTACTTTGGCAGTAAGTGCTATGCAAATTCATCAGTGGTATCAGTATCAAAGTTTCCTTAACATGCATCATTCAAGAGCTTCTCAGCCTTACATGCGTAGCAAACTGCCCATTTTCAGCTTTAGTTTTAAAAGCACTGGAATTAACCTGCTTCCTCTAAGAACTACACAAGGTAATAATCAACCAGCAAATATGACCCCGTAAAAGAAGGTACTTAACAGTAAATTAATCTTGGAAAGGCCCTTGCCACTTCCAAAATTTACTGGTGATAGGGAGTAAAAAAATCTTCAGAGCAGGGAGATAACTCTGTTTTAACTCATTTTTAGAATGTGGAAAAGTTGGAATGGCAAGGGTAATCAGAAAGGATAGATGGTGTATTGAGTATAAGTACCCCCTCTTGAGGGTGCTTGACTGTGGTTATACAGTATCCTCAGGCTGGTTTTCACTGCATCTGCTATCAGCTGCTATGTTTTTAACCACAGGACCATTTGGTGCCCCCCACCTCTGGCCCCCTGGATCAGAGGGACTCGTAGCCAGTCAAGGTAAAATCTTAAGTATGGATTAACTGCTTTCCCCCCACACGGGAAACATCAAGATTTAAAAAGCAGTAGCACCAGTGCCTGGTAGAGAAGGCATATTGTATTTATTGCTTTTACAATTTCCTATCAATACTCTTTCAGAGAGAAAAAGTTGATACCCAGCCATGTATAGTTATGGCTGCATAAGCCTGAACAAAGCCTTCTCCCAGCATAATTGCAGTTCAATAAAGAGAAAGTGAAAAGACATTTAAGGATAGGAAAACGGAAGGAGATTTGTAAATTCTGTACCCCCACCCAACAAAACCGCCCTTTAATTCTGCTGATCATTCAGCACACACACCAAGAGCACCTTGGAAAGCAAACATGCCCTGAATGGAACAAGTGGTCAGTAACAGCCACAGTGACCAAGGTTACTTTTGTGCTCAAAATAAAAGTAAATTCTGCATACCTGGATATGCTGGTCCTGTCACCTGAGAGTAGATACTAGTCCAGGAGATTTCAAGTTCAATATGGCCAAACTTTTCAAAAATCATGTGCCAAAGCAGCAAGTCCGCACTGAGTAGTATTCTGCCTACTACTGTAGATTTTATCACAAAAGAACTTGGTCAAGCTTCAGGATGGGTGTGGTTTTGAAACCATAAAAACATTCAAGAGGCTAAAATGTAAATGACACACAGCCATAGTGGCAGTATCTCAGGGTGCCACGGACTTTTTGCCCCTGGAATGTCATTCAAGGAAGACGTCACAATCATGCCTGCACGTTCATAGGACTACAGCGTGCTGTTCCATCTTGTCTTCATAGCTGTGTTCCGTGTAATGCAGTCTTTTTAATTTCATTTTGAAAAAGTGCAAGGTTGTTTTCACCCTGCTAAAGCACAGACTGAGCTTCTAGAGGGGGTAAGTGAGAAATAAGCAAAAGTAAAAAGAATACCCAGGACTGGATATGTTGGGCCCAGCAGACAGTTCAGACCTGATGGGCTCTCTCAAGGGATGGCCAATCCTCCTTGCCAGGAAAAGGGCTGGATCCCAACATACAGAGGCTTTCAGGACCCCAGAATGACTACCCTAGCTGTCCCAGGACAGCTCTTTCAGTTCCCTTCTAGCCTGATCCTAGGAGAACAAACTCGGGTGTTTAATACCCAAAAGAGAAGAGCTAGGAGGGCCGTGCTTCAAGGGTCTGAATGGTTCTCACTTGGAAGAGGGATTAGAATTATTCTACTTGGCCCCAAAAGGCAGAAAAAGAAGCATTAGGTAGAAGCTGCAAAAGGAGGTATAATTTAAAGTTAAATTTCCCATCGATTCAATCTATCCAAAAGTGAAATGAGCTAAGGAAGGGAGTGGCTTCCTCCTCACTAGAGGGCTTTAAAAAGTTGTCAGATGGCCACTTGTCATCTACTGTAGAGGACATTTTTTGTTTTTGAGACAGTCAGGGTTAAGTGACCTGCCCAGGGTCACACAGCCAGTAAGTGTCTAAGAGCAGATTTTGAACTCAGGTACTCCTGACTCCAGGGCTGGTGCACTGTGCCACCTAGCTGCCCCTGTAGAGAGAATCCTTCAGGTCTGGGTTGGACTAACTAGCCAATAAGGTCCCTTCCAACTCCGAGATTTTGCAGTTTTTTTGAATGAAAGAAGCAGTTTTGAATGGCTACTGAAAATATACAGAATCATAGAATGTCAGAACCCAAAAGGACCTCAGAAATCATTTAATCCAGTTCTTCCTTTTCCAGGAGGGGAAACTGAGATATAAAGAGGTTCATTTGTCAAAAATGAGCCTGTTTTCATCTAACACATAATTCTCTGGGGAAGAAAGAAATTTGCAAGTGTTTCCTAATGGTATTAAAAAGTAGAGCACGAATACTAATAAAATTGCCTTACCTGGTTAAAAAAAATATAAATTGATTTTTTTCTCAAGAGTAAATAGTAAATAAGCAGAAAGTGACATTATTTCTTATGACATCCATTACTCAGTTTATTAATTATATGAAAGAGCTATACCAATGTCATATTTATCTTCCTGGTTTATCAAAGATTTCATGACTGGTTTTAAAAAGAAAAATTTTCTCCTCCCCAAACCCGTCTCCAGTGCCTTCTGATTCTCTTTTGGATGATGACCCACCATCAGCTGGACCCTGATGACTCTGTGCATTTAAGCATCACCCCTCATTTGCCAATTTCCTCCCTCTACCAATGCTCTCACAAAAGTGAACAACTTGGAATTGCAACAATACAAAAAGGAGAATGAAGGAAAGTCAAAAAGAGTCCCAAACATTATTGAGAACAGACACTTAGGAAGGAGAGGGCAAAAGAAAAAAAACACAAGTCAGTGAAAAAGTTAAAATACTCAAACATAAACACAAACCCACACACATATAACCCTAGTTGATAAGAAATGCTAACCTAATTACAAATCCAGAACAACAAAGCAAATCACTAAGAGGTAATGAGATTTGCAGAAAACATAAAATGGTACAGGCCAAGGTCACTATTAGAGTATAACAAATGTTAAGATAACATGAGGATTAGAGTTTGAATTCTTCCTTAACACTGCATTGTACTTTCTTTATTTTTCTCCTCTATATTTAATGATTATTTGGTGTTAATGTCTTATGTCTCAACAAGTAATTTAAATTGGGCAGAGATCCCATATTATTTATCTTTATTTCTCTTTCAGCACCTTATATGGTGGCTTTCATGTAACAGTTACTGAATAAGTATTTGTTGTTACTTAGAGTAACATTTGTATAGTAGGCACGATCTTAAGAATTCATTTCTTATAATGCTTTAAGCCAAAAGAGCATTTCTAATTGGGAGAAATTTACTGAACTACCTCTTCCACAATTCTTAGGCTGGCTGAAACTGGTGACATAATTAGATAAGGATTGATTGGTGGGGAGTTCTGGACAAAGTGGCAGATTTAAGGAGCTGGACAGCTAGAGGTGGTTACACAGGGGTGGTGTAGGCTGATGTGAAAATGGAAAGCAGTGGACCTACTCCTAGAAAGGGAGAGCAAAGAGGATCGAAGGAAGTGAGATGGTCATGATTGTTCTCAAACTAAGGTGTTGAGGTTGGATCATGATGACTCTGGAGCCAAGGTGAGAGGTTTTAGCCAAGTTTCAGCCTTCGCTAAGAAGGTGCCTAGGAAAGAAACTCCAGTGCACACACAAAGCCAATGTAACCAAGATTAGAAGGGAAGCAGAAAGCTGGGAAATGATTTTTACAGTCACTCTCTCTGATAAAGGCTTCATTTCTAAAATACATGGATAACTGAGTCAATTTATAAGAATACAAGTAACTCCCCAATTGATAAATGGTTAAAGGATATGAAACAGGCAGCTTTCAGATGAAGAAATTAAAGCTATCTACAGTCATACAAAAAAATGCCCTAAATCACTATTGATTAGAGAAATGCAAATTAAAACAACTCTGAGGTACCACCTCACACCTATCAGATTGACTAACATGACAAAACAGGAAAATTATAAAGGTTGGAAAAGTTATGGGAAAATTGGAACACTAATGCATTGTTTGTGGAGTTGTGAACTGATCCAGCCATTCTGGAGAACAATTTGGAACTATGCCCAAAGGGCAATCAAACTGTGCATACCTTTTGATCCAGCAATACCACTCCTAGATCCGTATCATAAAAACAGGAAAAGGACCCACATGTAGAAAAATATTTATAGCACCTCTTTTTGTGGTGGCAAAGAATTGGAAATTGAAGGGATGTCCATCAACTGGAGAACGGCTAACCAAGTTATGGTATATGAATGTAATGGAATACTATTGTTCCATAAAAAATGATGAGCAGTTGGATTTCAGAAAAACTTGAAAGAAGAACTGATGCTGAGTGAAGTGAGGAGAACCAGAAGAACATTATACACAGTAACAGCATCATTGTGTAATGACCAACTTTGATAGACTTAGCTCCTCTAAGTAATGCAATGATCCAAGACAATTCTAAAAGACTCATGATGGAAAAAGCTATCCACAGCCAGAGAAAGAACTGTGGAGTCTGAATGCAGATTGAAGCATAGTATTTTCTCTTTTGTTGTTGTTTTTTTTGGTTTTTCTTTCTCATGGTTTTTCGCTTTTGTTCTGATTCTTTCTTCACAATGTAACTAATGTGTAAATATGTTTTGTTGTTTTTGTTTTTGTTTTTGTTTTTAGTGAGGCAATTGGGGTTAAGTGACTTGCCCAGAGTCACACAGCTAGTGAGTATTATGTGTCTGACGCCGGATTTGAACTCAGGTCCTCCTGACTTCAGGGCCGGTGCTCTATCCACTGCACCACCTAGCTGCCCCATGTGTAAATATGTTTAAAATGATTGTATATGTATAGCCTATATCAAATTGAATGCCATTAGGGGAGGGGACAGGGAAGGC